TTCGCAATGACAGCTTTCGAGATAAGAATTTCACAGAGATTTAAGTCGCCCGTGATTTCTTCCCGTGATTCTTTCCAGAGATGAAATTCCTGTCCCATTCTCGTAAGATTGCGTGGAACATCGCTATTGTTTTCTGCGGTTGCTGCAAGAATCAGAAAGTTTTGGTACACTACACCGAAAGCGTTAAAAATCGTTTGAACAGCAAGACCGACGCGGATTATTATTTGTATTAAGATGTAATGCTGGAACAGTGAGTGAAGGAAAACTATTTCAGGCTTCTTCGGGGGGAGCGTATTTTCAGTCCTGCTGCATTCACGTTTCGAGGGCACAAACCATATTCACATGACTCCTAGTACAGAATGCAGATGTAAAGTACAGAATGCCAATATCTTTTCTTTAAATAAATAAATAAATAAATTATATGTAAATTATACCTAAATATATAAATATATAAATAAATATATAAATATATAAATAAATATATTAAATATATAAATAAATAAATATATAAATAAAATAAATATATTAAATATCATAAATAAAATAAATATATAAAATATACTAAATAACATAAATATATAAATATATAAATAAATAAATATATAAATATATAAATAAATATATAATATATAAATAAATATATAAATATATCAAATAAATAAATAAATGATATAAATAAATAAATAAATTATCATAAATAAATAAATAAATAAATAAATAAAATAAATAAATAAAATAAATAAATAAATTAAATAAATAAATAAATAAAGTCTTTTATTGATGGCGAGGCTCAGGCCATTTAGCCTGCTCTTTCGCCTGACCGAATTAGTAATTAACTGAAGAAATATTTTTTTACGTTGTACAAAATTTACTTAAAATTCATAGCGTAATGTTTTGTTTTTTTGGCTCGACAGCCCGCTGCGGGCCTTGGCCGACCAGCGGTGACTCAGCCTCTCTGCCATGGGATAAGGGGTTCGTGTGATTAGCACCAAGACATCCCTCCATCGTATATTCTGGTCTTCATAACCTTAGGGTAAATTTATCATCGTCACAAAGCAAGAGATACTACGACGTTTGTAAGGAAAGCGCTAGGACGTTTGTAGTTTGCCACGGCCGGGAATCGAACTCAGGGTTGCGCCGCGGAAAGCGAGTACGCTAACCAACGCGCCATCCGAGAGAGTAAATCAAGCATCTACCTAACAAAATACCAGAATTCAACGAAAATTCTAGCTTATTTGTTACATCAAATATGTTACACGAATACAATATGTTATATTTAACATATACAGAGGTATTATTCTGGAGGCACCTTTGTGGGGAGAAACTTATCGGCTCCACCACTGCTTAAAACATAGAACACATAGGAAGAAAACAATACGACACCATTGCATCGCGACAAAGTGCAAGTACAGCATTCCTAACTAAGATTATGAACACATTCGTTCATAAATTGTCCATATTAGTTTGTTCAATTATTCCAATACCTTTCGATCATAAAACGTTCGCCTCTAATGATGCATCATTGAAATAACGATTATGCAAACCCAAAAGACGTTTCTAGATCTCAGTCTATGACATATTTTGCTCCAATTATTGTCAAAACCAGTTAAAATTTATGTGACATTTGGGAGATACGAATACAAGAAGTACGACATCAATGGGAAAAACTAAAGACAAAATTTTGCAGGATGGTCCAACCAAATTGAGTATAATAATTAAATTTGTTCGAAGAATTGGTTGCCGCGACCGGGACTCGAACCCACGTCTTCTGGTTTTATGTATGTACACACAAGGAGCGATAATCGCTCTCGCGAAAACTGTTCAAAGGATTGGTTGTCTCGGTAGCTTAGTGGTTAGAGAAGCTTGGCATAAACCAGGAGGCCCGGGTTTGAGTCCCGGTCGGTCGGGACAACCAATTCTTTGAGCGAATTTTAATTATTAAAATGCATTGTTACTCAGAATGTGGTCACAATTTGAATTCCTTTACGACTGCGGAATATATTCTCCAAGCGTAATTGCGTCCTACAAGGTGGCGGGATGGTGACAATTACATATAACAAATTGAGTTTATTGAAAAGGCTTGGAGAAAGACAACGAAAAGAAGGAAAACAACTCCAGTGTGCTCATAAACATATCTTGGTTTCACTTTCTAATATAATTATACATATCACATGTCCATAAAGTGATGGAATGCTTCAGTATCTCGCAAAAAAAAAAAAAATTATATGTTAAGAGAAAGTTAAAATTTTCTAGAAATAAATTAAATTAGCCTTAAATTCAGTCCCTACTATCTTTTTACGAAATTTGAATTTCGAATGGGAACTGTTTCAAGTATTTCGATTCTACGCAACAAAATATGTAACATTTGCATGAAATATTTTTACTTATCCTCTCTGTACTGTGTTTAAGGCTCTTTTAAGCTGTAACTTTGCACAATCGTCAGGATAACTCTAATGGATAACTGTCAGATTAGCAGCATTTGAAGTTGAAACCTGTTACACACGTAAGTGCAAGATTAGTTTTGCAGTTCTGGGGATCATTAAGAAATTTTCCATTCTGGGAGTACTTTACATGAAGCTTCAGAAATTTTATAGAAGTTGATGCATTTGTTCCACTTTTTTTTCTCGAATAGATGAAAGTGCGTTTATAAATAATATGTTGCTGCGTTTGTCTTTAGAACTTCTGAAATTTTAACAATTGCAAAAGTTCAAATTTTTCGTAGCTGTCTTACGCCTCCAATATTAAATTCAGAGATTTTTTTTCGAGGTAGAAATTAAAATCCAACGTTTTGTATATGTAAGCTGGACAATTAATAGAACTCTCAGCAACAAAAAAGAATAGATACCAGAAAAACACTAAAAAGTAATGGCGATAGCAATCCTCAAGTATGAAAACAGGAGTTCGATCCCCTCGCAAAAGGAAGTCAATAAAATGAAAAGAAGAAAAAAGAAAATCAAATGAAAAAGGAAAAAGAAAAAAATATTTTCAACACAATTTATCCCTCAAGATTACATCTATCGTGCACTTTTTTTTAAAAAAATGCATAGTCGAGAAAAACACTAAGAGAATGACGAAAAGTGTAGGTAAACCGCGCTTTCCCGCGTGTTTTCTATCCTTTCTTAGTAGATGGCACTCCTATAGGATGAAAATCAGACTACAATCAATCTTTTCGCTAGTTGTTAGTCTCTACACTCCAAGTATATTAATGAAAGGTCTACAATAACTTTAAAGAAGAATGTATGTTTCTACCAACTGGTTGCAAAAATTAGATGCTTCAAAATCTTTGTCTCGCTGTCAAAAACAAATACTAAGCACATCGTGATGTTCGACCAGCCCTCTCTGCAGCGACTAAGTCGTCATTAAATATTAGTTTTCCCATGATACTTATGTCTTCGTTATAATTATTATTGCGTGATCGACGACGAGTTGAAATAAATGCTAGGTACAAAAAGAACACCGTTTACGCGGAAAAACATTAGTTGCCAACAGAATATAATCTGCGAAGGCTGAATTCTACCATTTCTAGACACCTTCCGTAAAAATATTTAAATATTATTCTTTTGTGCTTTCATTTACATTATTACGTTCCAAGCTATTCGGCCGGTAGGAAGGTGAACACGTTTGTAAAACGCCCGATGTTTACCAGAATTTCAGCAACTGATACCAACAATTTTCATATAAGAAAATCTGAAAATGTTTTAGACACATGTTAAGGACTTCATTACGGATACAATCCCAACTTGCAAAACAAACTCTTTATGAATTTCTTTTTGGGATTTGTCCCCGGCGCACGTGGGGAGGAAACTGATAAAACTCAAGTGTTGTAAATTAGATTCTTATCTTGATTAATATTAAACTATTTATTCTATTAAATGCTCATGTAAATTGTTAAATTGTATTCGAAAATCGAAAACTTATTAATATTAAGTACAAAAATTGATCAGTTTTAGAAATAATATAGCTCAAATCTTCTCTCACGGATGTGTTCCTTCCAATTATTGCCAAAAGGTCGTTAGTGGTTAATTAAAAACTATTCTAATTTATATCCCCAAGAAAACTTGTAGTGCGAATGGACGTATTCATTATTACTCCTCACCTGTTCACCATTAAATACCTAATTTTCGTTGTACATAAATAAATTTCGCATCTTAAACCGGAGCATTTCGTCGAAAAATAGAAATAGAAAGTTTCTTGGCAGCATCAAAAATTTCGTGAAACATAGATACTTTCAAAAATATGAAACACATCAAATCAATGTTTTAAGAATCATTTTTACTTTATTTCCCCAAAAAATATCTGACCTACTTAATGTTCACGCGACCTATATTTTCGTGCCAATATGTTATCATTGTATCACACGAGTCAAGTACTCCAATTATTAACAATCTTGATAGAAAGATGGAGCAATTCTATAACCGAGCCTTTGAACTCACGCCAAGATGCTACGAAGAAATGTTTGAATAAATTCTTGCAGACATTTCATTGCAATCACAATGAAAACATCCAACCTATCGTAGTATAATAATAATTTCTCATTTACCACATTCGAGCCTGCACTATTAAGAAGCATTGAGAAAATGCTCATTTATCTTTAGCATATTTATCGTACAGAACTCACCATAATTCTTTCACACGTTTTTCACTTTTCCCTTCACTTTCATTGTTTGACTGCTCTAACATATTCTGGTAAATACATGGAAAACCATCAATAAAATGTATTAAATTGGCATTGGTCGAAATTATTTAAGAACGTATTGATTTTTCTGAAATTCGTATGCTAGTTCATTTTGAAAAAACCGCGCTTCCTTCCATTGACTTGTTTCGTTCTTCACAAATTCACAACAAATATTCCTCATATATTTTTTCATGACTTTACCTTAGAGTATTAATATTAGTTGATAATACCAGTTTAGACACCTGTCATGATGACAACTGGCATTACGCAAAAATGACAGGTGCCAAAACATCGTAAATGTTCAAAAGATTAGATATAAACTCACCTCTATGTTGCCCATGGTCTGGAATGCCGTAAAAACAAACATGAACCCGAACCCTAAAACGATTACATTCATAAATTTTCTGTCGAGACCCATCTTGATCGAGCGTGGATTCCCTCGCACACCAGATACACCACTACTACTTGTCTGGAAGCATGTACGCGATAGAAACCATCGCAGCATCGCGTCGGAGTGTCGAGGGAAATATCATATCTAAGAGTTTGAACATAAAGATATTCCTTCGCGCTCGGTGCCGAAAGCTCCAAACATTTAACAGGCAAAAAATAGTCTTAGAACAAGAATATGTGTACATTCAACAGCAGCAATTTTATAGAAAGTGATTATCGAAGAAAAAAACTACAAAAACATTCCCATGACGTATCTAATTTGTATAACGTGAAATTATATTGCCTTAAAAATAATAAAATGTTCCGTACATCTGTATTTTATTACAATTAGAGGTAAAACTGATACCACCTATTTTTTCCTTGTAGAATCTGCTATTATGTGATTTTTTTTACTTTGTTAGTGAACTTACAAAATTAGCTACGAACATACAATACTTGAAATATGCTACACATTTTTCTGTGAAGTCGGTTTGGATGCATTGCATCGTGGTCGTCCATTTTATCCGTATGCTAATAATTTATGAAGAAACTTTAATTCAGGAATTTCGAAAAATATATTTGCAGGTAACAAATGAGTTATGAAATCAGTGTAACCACATTCGCAATACCTGAGCCACAGCTCTGTCTATTTCCTGTAAATAATTTCTGCAACTGTATCCCCAAACTTTTACAACTTTACCGATGAAGTAGCACTTCGAAAGTGATTCAGAATTTAGTTACATCCTGAAAAAGAAGAAGAGCACACAACTTGTTTTTAAAGTACACACATAATTTTTTAAAAAGTATTCACACCATCATGTTTATCTTTTCAAGAAATTCTTTGCTGTTTTGACAGAAGCATGACTCGACATCGACCGATTCTCGATATAGCATGTGATGACACAATCGAGAGGAACTATATCGATAGGTGTACATAGGGAAGTCGGGCCGAGCGGTGTATTACATTGACTGGTAAGTGTGATTATGTATTTGAGTTTTTTGGAACATGGTGATATTAATCATTTTGTTGACATTTTCATGGTTCTTTACTATTATTCATTCGATACACTTGAAGGGTTCGATCATGCAACTGCATTTATGAGACTGCTGAATAGGATGAGATCATCCCTGCCATTATGAGTTTTGTGATGGGATGGGCTTATCTTGTTTGATTAGTTAATGCAACCAATGATTTGACTTGATAGCGTCCCCAACCTTACCAAGTTCGATTGAACTGTTTCCTGCTCAGTTGGCTTGAGGGGTGTGATTACAGTGAAGCTAGACAGTATTGTTAAGTTTTGTCTTCTTATTATAGATCTGTAGCTGATTACTTTGAACACTTCCTTCAGAATGGTGTGACTGAATTTCCTTGTGGTTTTAAACATATGATGAACATACAATGTTGTGGTGTATATTATGAAACATTGAATGTTGACTTGGAATGTTGTGAAAGGATTCGTTCTGTATATTTGTGAGATTGCTTGAACTGTCAAAATGAAGAAACAGTTTTTTAGAGTGAAACAACTAGCTGACCAGACGTTTTCTAGGTAAGATTGTTTGAACTTTTAGAATATTATACCATAAGCTATTAATATAATGTCTCTTTTCTTTGAATACTGCAAATGCACCATTGAGATTTATTTAATTATTAATTCATCAATACCTATGTTTTCTTATTTGATTTCTGTTAATTTAGAGCTGACAAGACTGAAGTACTTTCCGATGACCTCCAAGAAGCAGATAGAAGAGTTGATTGTATAAGAATTGCCTGTCAAAACACTAGTAAAAAACTTGCTGGTTGTATTTCTGGTCAAGGGCAAGAAAGAGACAAGAGAGTTGTAAGTGTTACTATTGTGGTTTAAAAATAATTGTAATTTTTTTAATGCATTCATAATTTTTACTATAAATGTTAGGTTGTTTTTAAATAAAATATTTTTTTTGTTTATAGAAAAAGGTTCCAGAACACATGCTCGGAGCTGTTATGCAAGAAAGTGTCCCTGGAATTTCGGATGAGAACTTTTTGCTTGGGTGAGTATAGTCTTAGATTAGAGCTTTGCCTGTTTGTCTACATGTAAATTACATGCTAGAGATACTCTAATTAAGTTAGAGACATGTAATGAAATAAACATAACAGTCGACCAACCAGTGACACATTCATGTGTATTTTTAACCACTTCTTTAAGGGCCAGAATTCTATAGATTGATTTTGAATGGACCTTGTTATAACCAAATTTATCTGCCAAATGTATAAGTTAAGATTAAAACATTAAACACTGAAGGTTTTGACATTAAATTGACTTAGGTATTATAACGTTAGTGTCTGCATAAAAAATCATCTCAAAAATATGACCAGGCATGAAAACTAATTACACAAAAGGTAATGTACCAATAAAACTGTATGAAAGACACGCATAGGTGCTAAAACAGAGACAGAATCTGGAATGGTTCTGGTGAGTTATTTAAAATCATTAATGACTGTCTAGCAGAGACCAAATTAGAAATTGGGGCATACAGAAGAGACTAAAAACGGAATGTAGCAATAGAAGAGTACCAAAGAACATGTCCAAAATTGAGAGAACGAAGGCTGAAAGATATGTAATGTAAAATGGACAAAGATATTCCGGTCAAAGGGATGGAATGCACATGGAAAACCTGTATTAGAAGGCAAAATAAGAATCACCATAGCAACTAAAAAATTACGGTTCAAAAGGTTCAGGTTATACAAACCTAAACCTTAGAAATTAAAAATGATTATGATTCAAGCAAGCCTTATTATTGTATTATTGTTAATTTTAATCAAGTTTTTATGATTGCTTGCTATCGATTTTTTAATAACATATGGATTTTGTACTTTTTTAATTAGATTAATCATATCCTCTTTTTGAGACAGGACTTTGAAGAAAGAAATTGAGAAACTAATTTAACTTAATTGTACTTTATAAATGGCAAATAGAAGTTAATGCAATACTTCAATTTAACACAGTGGCAAATTATTTTTCAAGAAATTGTAACAAATATTCATTAGGGTTAGATGATTCACGGATTCATGGCAGTTCTGTATGTTATATAATTCCACAAGAGCAAGAAGTTTAAAAAAATAAACGAATATATTTGATACAGAGAACATAAAAATCAATATTGGGTGTAATAAGATGGGATAGATTGAAAAACCAAGATATAAGAAATTAATGTGACATTACAAAGTAAAATTTATAAGAAGAGAATAAAATGAGCTTGTTACCAGGTCAGACAGCTAAAGACTAATCAAAATTATGAGAGATTCAAAACCTAGAGAAAAACGCGACCCAGGCAGACCAAAGAAAAGATGAATCGAGAGTTTGATTTCCACATCTTCTGAATTATCCTGATGGTGAAGTGTGACAGGTGTAATCTTAATAAAAGAAGAAAAAGAAATTAATATATTAATGAACCAAATGCATATCTACAATATCCAATTGTTAGAGAAAATGGATGCATCTGTTTATATCAACCTAAAAAATGTCAATTTTTCATAATTTAATCTTTTATTATATGATAGAGCCAATAAATTCTAGATATTTTGTAATACACTTCCCATACCCATTATTAAAATTTCTTCATAACTACTAATTTTGAAATAATTTAGTAGAAACGTTTAAGGTTTGATTGAAATCCATTGAAAACAAAGCTTCTTCCAGGAACATTTCTTCCAACTGGGAAATTGTATCAAATATTTCATTCATTTATTCAATGATGACAGGAAATTATTCATTTGGTAGAGATCTTAGAGCAGGCAGTTATGGATTATAAAACAATTCCATGGACAGTACTTAGTTGTTTTTCTTTACCTTCCGTACCGTTGAGATAAAAATATTGTTTTGGGAGGGGGGTTGATTTATTCTTGATTTATCATTTCTGTCATTTTTTTTTATAGTTTTTCAATCGGCTAGTGTTAAGTTTGACATCAGTTAAAAAGTACTTTCTTGAAATCTTAGATTCATTGAAGTGTACAAATAATTTTGTTTCATGTTATTTACATTTAATGTTAGGGTTCAAGGGTGGTATGTGGTTCATTCAAAAATTATTTATTCATTTGAAATTTGTAACCTAATTGTAATCTGTGTTCTATAGTTAAAACTGGAGAATAAACTTATCATTATATCTACATGACTTTTTGTTTTCAGTGCTTAAGCAAAATGTTTATTTGTTGAAGCTAGAAGTCATTTAAAAACGTACTATAGAGTAATACGCATTGGTCGTCTTATTTTTACCAATCCCTGAATACAAGAATGATAATGTGTTTAGGTGTCATATTTGCTCTGACCCAATTGTAATGATACGTTATAGTAATAATTTACAGGTTGTGTGAAGTGGTCTCAGTCTCATAAAATTCTGTTCATTTAATCTTTCAAATTATTCAAAGTATTAGTTATCCTGACCAGGAATTGAGCCTGGATCTGATTTACATCCAGTTGTTCTAACAATTAAAAAAAAAATTATATAATTTCATTATGTTGGGTTAAAATTATTCAGAAACCTCAGATATTGTAGTAGGTTAAGACAGTAATACTGAATTATGTATATACCACTTTTCTTTTGTGTAAGAAAAAGAATACGCAAATGATACTTTGTCTTATTAAAAGTGTCCAGGTACTTCGTCTGTCTGTCAAAGGTACTTCCATACTTTCAATGTCTTTTAAAGGAAATAAGTTTGTTGATAATTAAATAACAATCATGTCAGAATTCAGGAACCTTAGAAAATTATTCATACTCTTCAAAACAATATTCCAATAAAACTTTTATTTATGGCAGTTTAGGTTCATGTTGTGTATTATTTTTCCTACATTGTCTGCTTTCCAGATATTTATTAAAACATTTCATTCAAATTTAAAGTAATTTTGAAGATCATTACTTTCTCTGCAATTAGGTTTATGTTGTAAAATTATTCTGTTTTTCTGGAATTGCTGCAACAGTAACTTGCCAAGAGAATTGTGGATTGTAGTTGTTATTTCTCAGATCATAATTGGGAAGGGGGGCAATCTTTTGGTAATTAGGATTCTTTATTTTGCAACTTATTAGGAAGTTGCAGTTGTTGAAATGTTTAATGAGGTTTTTATTGCACTCTGGTACAATCATGTGTTTTTGTGTTTCAGAAAAATATTGCATGTGTGTGGGAAGGTGCAACAAGAGCTAGCTACTGATGAAGTAGATTTTGAATTAGATGTAGAGCAGAAAGTTATTGGCGTATTGCAATCCGTTTTGGAGAAAGATGTACCTAATATAATGAAGCACAAACGAAATCTCACAAAATTGACTTTGGATATGGATTCAGCTAAAACAAGGTAATCTTATTTTTAAGACAATCAAGACCATTATACATCTTTTAGGAATACACTCCTTTTTTCCTTCCTTTGTGAAATATACAAGTAAAACCTGTATGGATCACCTGTGGTACCCTTAAAATTTGTATTACACTAGTATTTTACTAAACAAGTATTACACTAGAATTTTCATTAAAAACATTAATTTTATAAATTGAAATAACCTTTTCTTTCTCATATAAGTTTGTATATACGGAGTAATGTACTAAGTACAGAGAAAGTTATGTAATTATGCACAGAAACTGTTTTGAGATTTGAACAGAAATACTCAATGTGGGGTCGCCTGATACTGGAAGGGTTGTGTATTTTTATCTCCTCTTTTCTTTTTCTTTCTTTTCCTTCTCCCTTTTCAAAATTTCCTTCTCTCTGTCCATCTGCCTGTCTGTTCATTGTGAACAACATTAGTACATCAACTTGTCATGAACAACACTAACGCCACAAAGCTTAGTAGGATTCTTTCAAAATCTGACTAATAGTTACATTTTTCAAAATCATACTAGTAGTTATATCTGACTAAGGGTTACAGGATTGACATGGTTATATGGCACGACTTGCAAGACCTGCGATTTTCAAAATAATACTTGAAATTTTAGAGTTAGTTCATGTGAAGACTGTGGAACATTTTCAGAATTTTCTCAAAAATTACTCAAATTTTTTCCTTCAAATTTTTTGTAAAAACATGACTTAGGGCTGAAGTTTGAAATTTTTTGGATTCCCTCTTACAGCTACATTATTCTTCAGATTTTTTTCTTTCTTTTTTCTTCTCTCTTTCTTTCTGTCTTTTTTTTTTCCTCCACAATTAGTTCTTTAATTAATACCATGTGTATTGCTGATATAAAGGTGTCTGGGAAGGAAACGTTAAAACTTTGAAAATATGCTCTTCAGACCATCTAAAGCATATTTTATCTAATAAACTACTTCGATATTTCAAATGGTTAAGCTGCTGCAAGTACTTAACAGTTGGTGTGAAAAAATGCGTTCTGGGCAAAAATTTGCATTGCAGAAGCATAGAAACACTCCTCAAACATGTAAACAATTTATCATTTATTCGTCAATAAACATTTATCTATTTTTTCGTTACCAGGGCCTGGCAATGGGACATTAAAAATACATTGTTTTCCAACGCACAAAAATTCAATTCGTACGAAGTAAGAGCAGGAGAGTAAAAAGCCAATAAAAAGATTAGGAAACTAACTAGTACAGCTAGTAACGTAACTAGTACATTCCATTCGGTGACATCACTTGTTATTTTTTACTTGACATTACACTAAAAAAGGCAATGAAAATACTATTTTTGTAAATCGAGATATGAGCCAATTTGATTTCAACTATTTGTCATACTTGAAACAAATTTTCTGTTATTTGATTCTGGCTGCATGGAAATCCATAGTATTCTATTTTTTTTAAACAGTGCATGACATGGTTATGATAGGGTGATCCTTCAAGAATATACAGCATTGTTTCTTCTTCATCAGAAGTCTTATTCTCTCATTGAGTATTTATCTCTCCAATCATTATTTTCTCTTTCCATTATTTGGCCTAACTGGCCATCCAGAGACAAAAGTAGCTGAAGTTTTGGAGAAAATGGTTAAAAATTCTATATCTTCCTGCCATTTTCAAAGAATCTGTCTAACTGAAATGTGTCTGGCCTGTGCAACTATCAAAGATAGAAGGGCATCGAACATACAAAGTAATTTAGATGTGTGGAAGTTTAAAGATTTCACTGGTCCCTCCAGAATGTGTCCAAGTGTACAGATTTTACTGTACATAATGGGGGGAAAGTACAAAATATCAATGTTGACATTTTGATAGAAATAAAAGTTTTAGGTGTTTCTGTTACTGAAAAATTGTTTTTTCAAAATATCTGTCCATTTGCAAACAATACTAGTGCCCGAACCACACATAGAATATTTACAAAAATGCATATTTCTCAATTAAACTGATGTCATGGCTCCTTGTATTGAAAACGTCCATTTTAATTGTTGGGTTGAGAACTTTTTGTGAAACCACTAGAAAATTGATAGTCATGTTGTAAAAATGGAACAGGTCTAATTTTCAGTCAAACCTGCAATTTTGTGAATTGAAGAAGAAAAATTAAGTGGAAAATACCATATTGAGGTGAGTCCAATGTTAAACGATGATTTGGTGAGGACTAATGTTTGGTCTGGGCTAAAGGAGGATCATCTTGGTCTACTCTTAAAATATGTTCACGAATACAGACTTTCTTAGTCTGACCCTAGTCCTGTGTTAGTCTGGACTAAAATGAACTTAGGATGTAGCCCTATGCTGTTACTAATTTTTATGTTGAATTTTCATTTCAGGTATCAGACTGCAGTAAAACACAGTGCTGGTACAGGTGCTGCAAGAGTTGAATCAATCAAATCTGAGTTGGAAGATGCAGAAACCAAATTTGAACAGTGTCGTGTAAGTTATAACTGATAAAATATAAATAGTTCTTTCACACTTACAGGCTAGAAAATAAAAATTAGAATATTCCAAACAATTTTTTTTTTTAATTGACTTTGAGGTTGCATAAGTAAATTTAAGATTTATTGTTATTTCAAGTAATAAGTGTTTTTTAAAAAGAGTTACTAAATTATTTGCGTAACAATTTTCATATACTTCAAGATTTTCTTCATGTGCAGTTTTATTTGTATCCTATGTTACAGTCTCTGAGTTGATTATAATTTTAAATAATAAGAATTCATATTTTCAAGTTTAAAATATTTGTTAATTTCTTCTCGCGTTTTTACCTACTACGAGGTGTTTTGTGGTTTTGTAATATGAGTTTTAATGAAAGATGTTTTCTAAGTTTTTATTTTTCAAATGATTAGTAATGGCTTCAGTGGTCAATTTCTAATTTCTGTATGATAATCTTAAGATGAAAGTTAAGCCCCAAACGCTGCTAATTTTTTGATTATTGAAGATGGCATCACCATTACTTATTGTTCTTTTCTTATCTCATCCAATGAATAATGTAATTTGTAGAGTAATTATTCTCATTCCCTTCATGTGAATGATTCGAATTAATTAATCTCAGGATGATGTGCACTTATTGCATTTGCTTGGGAATTTCATTCATCTTGTGTTGACTAGAGGCAGGCATGCCAACCTCCTTGAATGAAACAAAGACAGACAGTAATGCCAAGAAAAATGAATAGAAAATTACCGGTTAGATGCTCGTGTAGTCAGGTTGATCTGCATGCACACCCTTTCAAATGCATGCAACCTCCCTTTCACGGTTGCTGTTCACCCAGGCACACATCCTCTTTCACACTCATGCTGTCTGGCTCACACGAACAGATAGACACACCAACTGACCACAAACACCTAAAGTTTACACCACATAAATAAACCAAATGTTCACAATAATACATAACATGCACAATCAATCCGTGTGCACAGCACTACACACAACTGACACAAAAAATAAAATCTTAAGGAACGCGAGACAGTTTGAAGCAGAGGTGAACACTAAATGAAACAAATTTGGCACAAAGGCACTTACCTATATTTCTCAAGCTTTGAATTTGTTCAATGAGATATTTCTTTTTCATGCACAACAAGAGTTGTGCATAATGACCAACTACATCATGTAGTACAGTACCTGCACAATAGTTTAATTCTGTTTTGTTTTTGTTTTTATTTCAGGACCAGTTAGCATCTGAAATGTTTCAACTTGTGAGTCGAGAGTCAGAACTTGCCCACACTATTGTTCAGTATGCTAAATATCAACATGAATACCATAAAGCAGCTCTAGCAAAACTGGAATTGATAATTCCTAAACTGGAGAAAGATATTGGTAATATATTTTTATATGTACATGTTTACCTATGTATAAAACTTATTTTTTTAATTACATTTTTCAATATTTTTTAGATGAGTCTCCTCATAAACCAGTTTATGGTGTACCTCTTGAAGATCATTTGCTAGTAACAGACAGGAAAATTGCCCTTCCAATAGAATTGTGTGTTTGGGCGTTGCATGAACTAGGGATGGAAGAAGAGGGATTATTTCGAGTTGCTGGTGGTAAGTTGGAAAATCCAAGTTAATTCATTACTGAAAAATCTGAATATAGCCTGAATAATAACAAAAATTGAAGATGGCATTATATGGTGAACATCAGTTATCAGAGTTTTTTATTTGCTCAAATTACAAAAGTTTATGAAAGTTTATAATGTTTTATCTATTATAACATTAAAAATATAATAATATAGTAGAAAGCACTAAGGGGCCATCCCTCAATTACGTAACGGAAATTTGGAGTATTTTGAATATCCCCCCCCCCCTGTAACACACCTGTGTAATACGCACTTCAGTCCCCATCTAATAATTATGTAACGTTTGCGACAAGCCCACCCATTACAATTAGTAAAACTCAATTATTTAGGAGAAACAATGTGTATTAATTGTATTTGTGATATATAGTATGTATAATTATTTATTTTAATTTATGATAATTGATGTGAGAATTAATTGGAGCTGCAAACTGCACATAACAATAAGATTGGGAACAATTTTTGAATGAAAGGAGGACATGTAGGTGAGAAAATTTCTGAAGCCATGCTCACGTCGTCGTCAATAATGGTAGGCTCGAAGTCTACTGCTCCAACTTAATTGGATTCTAGAATATACTATAGATCAGTTTTGATAACCATATTTTCTGCATAATCTAAAAGATTCAATTCAATTGATGAAAATAAATTTTCATTGTAACAATTTGTACAACTTACTTAATTTATTATATTTTTAATTTAATTTGTTAATATGATAATGTTTTAGTATAAGACTGAATAAAAGGAATTATTCCAGCAAATGTTGAAAGATTTTAAAAATAAACATCAGCCTTATGTAAAGCTATGAGCCCCCCTCCCCCTCTTTTCTCCGATATAACACAGCACTTCCAGGACATTTTGTCCACTTCATGTTGTCTACTGTTATTAGGTCCACTTTAATTTGGTCCACAGACATTTTGGCCGTAAATAATTCTTCCACTGTATATATTGATTCTTATGTCACCAAGTATTTGTGCATTACCTTTCGTCCACATTTTCTTGTCTTTTTTCTTTTAAGTCCACAGAAATGTTTGTCCACAGGTAAAATAATGCACTGTATTGTGGTTTCAGAGGTAATGAATAAGAAATTATTTTGAGTATGTTATTTTTACTTCATTCGTCTATAAACAAAGAGAAAATTATTTATAAAAATTATATGTACCAGTTCCATTCCTTCAGCTGAAATGAAAAAAAGTCTTATTGGCATTGTGAAAATTGAGATAATCTGCAATGTCCGTCTCGTCACAAATCAAAATGTAATTGATCATATCCATTTATATAAAGAAGGTCAGCACAGTCATGTGGGAGTGTTAAGTTCATGCAAAGAGAATGGTGAGAAAAAGGGGGCTGAACAACACCCAAATGAACCTCCTGCATGTGTAATAAGAAAAGAAATGCAGGGTGTAGAAGATTAGGAAGTACTGCTGCATTTACCCGAAAGATCTGCCTTATTGTATAGTGTGAGCCGATCATGGTATATAGGTATGCCTAGAATGTAGGATATAAAAAAAAAAATTCTCTTATTACTACTTGCTGGCTAGGCAAATCAGATATCCCATTAGAAAATCGTATATTATAAATCAATGTCAAATTAAAAATAGTGTACACCAATATCAAGAGTAACCTGTAAATCATTAGGTAGAGAATAAAATTGTATAATACTGAAGTGAGCGATGGAGAAGTACAATTATTTAATTGTATAATATTGTAACTCAATAAAATATGAATTTCTTTTACAATGGACTATAATTATTGTGGACTAAAAATGTATAAAATGAACTAATATTAATTGGACATTTGAATGTGAAAAAATGTTTATGGACATCCAATGTTTCTGGACCAATAAGCAAAGTGGACGAAATATGTTTGGGAATCAACACAGCATAATGCTGCCTCAAACCTTCTCCCCCCGTTTAGCGTTACATAATTTGTGGGCTTTATGAAAACTTACTAACCACTTCAGCTAAGTGGTTAATTTCTCCTTCGAAGCTTCCCATGCCATTTGAATGTAGTAGATGAAGTACTTGATTCTCAATCATTTAATAGATCACAAACTCAATGTTCATTTCATATGCCGTGAATTTTTCTTTCGGAAATTATGTCCTAACATACCAAGATATTTTTCTACAAGTTTATCTATAAATATTGTAATAATAATAATAATAATAATAATAATAATAATAACAGCAACAATAATAACAATAATCATCATCATCATCATCATTTTTCAATGCTTTCAGGTGCATCAAAACTTCGTAGAATGAAGTTGAGTATGGATGCTCGCTGTCTCACTCCTCAAGCAATTCTTGAATACCGTGACCCTCATGTAATAGCTGGAGCGCTAAAATCTTATTTACGGGAACTTCCTGAACCTCTCATGACATTTGCATTGTATGATGATTGGATGCAAGCTGCAAGGTAGATTTTCGGATATTGATTTAAAAAATAGTTATTGAAGATTATCATTATTACATTTTTATTTAAATGTACACTTAGGTTTTTTGTTCTTTGCTAATAAGCTAATTTCTTTGTTCGTTGATAGTAAGCTAATTTCTTCTAACCTTTCTCTTTTCAGTGCATCCCAGAGATTTTTGTCAGTTCTTCCACATTCTTCATGACCTTTTTTTCTCCTGGATCCATAATGTTCCCAAATTGTACTCTTTGAATTGTACACTTTTAATTTATTTTGTCTAAGGATTTTTAGATTCAGGGAAATGTTCTAAGTAACGTACAAGTAAATTGTTGATTTTCTCAGAATAAGACTTTTATGAACCTGAAGCTGATTAATGTTGATATTTTACAGAGTCCAAACTTCCAGTGAAGCTCGGCTACAGGCTCTCTGGCAAGTTGTGCAGAAATTGCCTCAAGCGAATTTCAACAATTTGAAATATTTAATACGTTTTCTTCATGTCCTCTCTCAGAATCATGAAGTCAATAAAATGACTCCTCAAAATATTGCAATTGTGATTGCACCCAACTTAATTTGGGGCAAAACCAGTGATGCCAGCACAATGGGGTTAGTTGAGAAAGAGTGAGATTTTTCTGAAGATCATAAACCAACACTATACTAATTTTTTTGTTATTCTAGGATGAATATGAATGCAGCAAATACTTACAGTTTAATAGTGGATAACCTAGTGAGCTATGCAGAGTGGTTTTTTCCTGGAGGTAAAATTATTTCCTTATTTCAGAAAATATATTTTATTTGTAGATAAAATGTTAATGTTAGATAATTACAGATGTAGACTTCAATGAGAATTACCGTGAAAACATGGCATTGGTGAATGGAATGTCTACCAGTGTTGGTCCAATCTTGTCTTCCGATAGTGTGGCTAGTTCTCCTCCTTCGGTTTCCTACAGTGGTCACACACGAAGTTCCAGTGGGGAAGGACAACTTATCAACATTGGAGATAGTACCATGAAAAGGACTCAGTCAAGCAGCAGTCTCTCAGACCATAGCAGGTAATTGGAAGTTGAGAAAGTAACTCTCGTATTGCTGTACATAAGAAATTGTTGCATGGCCTGCTCTGAAAACAAGATAAATAAATTCGTCAGTTTGCTTGCCATTGTGTCACGCTCAGAAGTGGAGTAGTTTGTGATCATAATGGTTGGGCAAATTTAAAATTATGTTGTATAATTATAAGATTTTTAAAACAAATTTGTGACTTGTTATTTATTACAATGTGTACAATTCAATACTACATTATGAAGTTCATTTTGAACATGATTTGTTTAATAACTAATGGATTAAATGTATTTGTTCAAAACTAAAGAATAAATCTGAAAATCTCTGCCGTAAGAGTTTTAAGTGAGAGATGATTGAATAAACTTGCATATTTTATTTAAATATTCCTACTCTTGATTGCAGCCCACCCCAGGGAAGCCCTAAGCCAGCAACACGCCGTAAAAATAAGCCTGCTCCTGTCCCACCTGCTGTTACTACACCTACTAATAGAGAATTTCCTTTGGAAAATAGGCCACATGAAAAACCTGAGAAGCCTCCTCGACCCACAGTTGCACCTGTTATAACAACTTTACCTCGCCCGAGCAAGAAACATGTAGAACAGGAAAGCAAGACTTGCATTGATTCCTCAAAAATTAGTGCTAGTCCAGCCATTGGGTTTGAGCATTTTAGTTCCAATAGTGTTGCTGCAAGGCGTAGTCTAGATTTGGATCAGAATCCATCACCTGTTTCGTCTCAAAAGGTGAATGTTACTCCAACGGAAAAAGTGCCTGTTGATCCTCACATTCACAAGAGTGCTGAAGAGCTCTCTTACAACAGAAATGATGTTCCTTTACCACCTTCGGCCACCACTAATATTGGAAATATTGCAGTGATGTCGGGGAGTGTTGGAAAATCCTCAGTTCCAGTAAATGATAATGTAAATACGAAGAATAGTAATGCAAATGTCTGTAAAGTCAGTCCTGTAACTGAAAACGTCCAACAAAGGCCTCAGGCTGCAAGCAATAGTGGATCAAGCACATTGGAAAGGAGACCTCAACAAAGACCAGTTGCTGCTCCTCGTTCTATAGTCAACATTGGCTGCAGTTCTGTGAATGTTCCTAGCAAGGAGTCTTGTGATGTGAAGAGTGGAGAAGTTCCTTCGTCGTCAGGCCTTCCGAAAGCGGCAGGAGAGCCTTTGCCAAAAGAAACGGAGCCCATTGGTGGCAGTGCAGCCGGAGGTAACGATACCTTCAGTGGGGTGCAGTTGCGGAGAACATCGACATCGGATAGTGGTGAGCGGTTGAGCAAACCCATTGTTCCTGAAAGACCTGCCGCCTTGCTTCGTCCCCACACTTCATCCTTTCGTGTGTCCAGACTTTCGTCAGACTCAGATAATGCAGCTCCAGATAAGTCCAGTTCAGAAGTAAGTATATCAACACAACCATAATCATTACTCGAGTTGCTGACACTTTTAGTAGGCTGTGGCAGAAATTAGTTGGTGAAAGGTAAATAAATAATGCTTTACCTTGTGATAGAAGATTGATTGCTACTAAGCTTTTTGATGATTGTTCATGTGTTTAAATAAATTGTTGCAAATCATAAGATTATGCTAATGTAAAAAAATTGCTTGTGAGGAAAAAATAGTGTTATAGGAGCATTTGTCACTTTTTTGTTTCTTCGTATGCAGTTGCTTTCAATAGTGTGGGAGTAGACGGTATTAATGTGAAAATGTCAGTGTATTATCAAAGAAATGAATAAATTTTGGATGTTCTTATATATATTAAATAATCATACTTTTACGAAGAAAATTACTATTTTGCATGATAATCAAGACATTGTAAATGAATAGATATTGTAATAGTACTGTAAAGATAACTGAACTTCCTTCAATATTTTCTTGTTATCACTTTCAGAAGAACTCTACAAAAAGTTGGATACATGACTTAATAGTGGTAGATAATCTTAAGGTAATGTTTAGTATTGATTCATGTTCTGCCCTTACAAACCGCTACATTTTTATTGATGTGTTTTAGATTAAATTATTTATTATATTCTACATCCAAATAGTTTCTACATTTCTTTGAATTCGTGTGTGTATTCTTGTTTCAAGTCTTGTGAAAGTGTTCTGTTTATTCTGCTTTTTGCATTGATTTTCTTATGTCTTGAAATGTTCACAATTGTGAAAAAGTTACTGTCAACCAACTTATACTGTAGCTATGATATATGGAATATTCAGTTTATGAGTATATATTATTGCAGTAGAGACTAAGAATATTAGTGACTACTTAACAAATTGGCTCTACAAGCTTCATAGCCTATAAATAATAGTTACTAGGTCTGCTAAATGGACAGTAGTCAATTGAAGCTTCAGTCATTCCATTTAGTTTATTATGAAATGTTCTCTGTAAATTAAAAACCTGCTATAAACCTAGATGTAAGCACAATAGTTTTATATTAGCGAGATATATTGAAGTCCTATCACAGGAGAGTTTATTTAAGAGTTAAAATGTTGTTCATCCCTTTTCTTTGGTATACAGGGTGAGTTTGTTGCATTTCAATGCAGTGTTGTTTTTTGTTTGTTTTTTAAATTGTAATGCATGGTCGTTTCATGACCTAAATTTTAATGACTAATTGCTTGAAATTTACAATTTCTTGGTTTAAGGCATGATATTTATTTTTCTATACTACATTAATGCAAAATCTAAGTTGCATTTTTGAGAGGATAATATTGCAGTAACATTCAGTGTTTGTATTTTATTAAGGACTATTTAAAGAATGAATGACCATTATATTATAAAAATCTTCTGTAAATCATGTTTCCTCATGAGTACTTAATTTTTTATTTATGAATACTGTTCCACCTTGAGGGAATTAAATGTACTAGTCCACTATTAATTTTGAAGGTAATGTCCTCAAATTATTGACTTACAGATTGACAATGTTACATGATTGATTGGTATTTGATTATATTTACATAAGCTTTTTGAGAAAACGTTGTGAGCGGAGCACTGACAGATATTGAACAATTAACTACTTCTTGTGAATGAATGAGAAAGACGGTTTAAGATGAACAATTAATGTGACATGCACAACAATAATTTGAGAACACCCTTAGTGTCAGAGCTTAAAAATAATGGGACAATGATTTCTGGTGTAAAAGTAACATAATTATGAAACGTGAAATGTTATTGCATTTTTTAGTAATAAGGCTGAAGAATTGATTTAAAGTAATGAGAAATTCTTCACCTTTTATTTTAAGTGTATGTAATCGTAAGTAGCTTAGGAAAGAATGGTTCCTCTTTTTTTGTGTAGATGTGTTGTTTCTTTGTGGAGATAATACTGTGTATCTCATGTAGAAATGTACAGTATCAAGAATATCATATTTTCTTTTTAAGGCATGTGACTCGTTTACATCTGTTTGTACAGTATTCTATTTTTACAAACTGTGAAGGATTTTAGGTATTGATTACGTTGATATTCAGTTTTTGGAACTTTGAAAACTATTCAAGATAGACAAATGAAGTGGATATGGTTTATTCTGTAATATTATACTTTCTACATTCGATATTATATTTTAAGAGTATTGTTGAGGATGCTTCTTCAGCTCGTTACTTCTGAATGTTTTACGAGTATGTGAATACATAAATAGGTGTGCTTTTGCTTCAAATATACTTTAGATTTGCTTTCAGATTATCATCCAGGGTTGGAAAAAGTGTTAGCAGAACTTATCTTTAAATAGAGCTGATAAAAACATTAAAAGCTAAAGTTGAAATTGTTACACCTTTTTTTTTTTTTAATTTATGTAAAGAATACATTTTTCTAGCCCTGTTTGCCCCATTCAGGCAAAAGCTTTTGCTTAAAACTATTACATAATTGAAAAGTTATATTACCTTAAGATTGCAACATAACAAGTGCATGGACATTTACTGTTCAACATGTACGTGTCATCCATCAAATGATACAATGAATTTTTTATTTTGTGTAGTTAGTGTAGACAATACAAATAGTCTGTAAAATTACAAAAAAAAAATACCATTTTACTAAACTAGTTTTGGCATGACAAACTAATCACAGATGTTTGCTCTCCAATTTGAAGTGCATTTTTGAGCAGTTGATACACATCTTATTCTTAAATAATGTTGCATTTCTTAGTATTCTTTTCTATTGTATTAGTAATCTGTTTGTTTGAAACAATAGTTTTCATAGTTTTCTTTTATTGAATATTTTCATACAAAGAGTGAAAGAATGCTCCGTAAATCTTATGGTAGACAATTTTAGAGGTTTTATTGACCTTTGTAAATATTACATGAGCAATGTTTCACTCCCTTCTTGGTTTGTAAACAAAATTGAAGTTTCTGAAGAAAATTAGTAAAATGAGTACCATTTTCTTTGTGTTGGAGAAACTATTTTTGATATGTTTAGTGTGGTTCACTGTGTATATTACACATGGTAGCATGGAATTTTCTGACTTGTGATAGAATTAAATTGCTTACTCTTGACATGGGTGAGCATGTGTAAATGTCTATTCATCCTTGCATGTGGAATGTTGTAAGAAAGGGTGCTGGAATATGCACCTATGCAAAAAAAAAAGACAGCAAAGGGTTTATATCCAGAATTAGTTTCAACTTCTGATACCATTGTATATTATTAAAGCATTATGCATTTCATGCTCTTTTTAGGGCAAGAAAGCTTTTTGTAGAGATTTATCACATTTAAATGTACTTTTTATACTTGAACATATCTCTATTAATGATTTCAAGCATGATTTTATAATGCTTCAAATGTGTGCCTGTTACCATCCAAAATGGTGATTGCCATTAGATAGACTGGAATTGGCATAATCTGACTCTAAAAGACTTAAAAAGTATACTAGTGCCTTCCAAAAAACATTAATAAGCAACTTACTGATTTTATTGCGGTGTGATTTTAAAACTGAAATTTCTGTTAGATTTCTTTTTTCCTTACAAAATTTTGAAAAAACAATTTAAATTTTGCTTAATGATCTTCATTAGGCAATAATATTTTGCACTTTTGTTTGTTTCTCTGAGTAATGGTGTATTAATACATGTATAGATGTATTTTTCTTCTTAAAGCCAAACTTTAGAGCCTTTTATGTTTAATGTATAGCGTTGATAAGAATAGATGCAGAAAGAACATAATTTTGAAAGTGCTGGCATGAACCTCTAATGTATGGGCATGGGTGTCAATGTGGATGTCCAGTTCTAAATGGTGCTACCCACACAATGTAGGTTTTATGTCACTGATTCAGAATGTGTATATACTTGTACAGGGAGGTTGGTATTAGGAAAATTATGGGATATTCATGTATGTTGATAGTATGTATACTCATGGATATTCATGTATGTTTCATAGGTATACATATAATGAAATAACATTCATTTAATTTCAAAGATCTGTAAGAAATAAAATTGGATGTGTGAACACCCGTGACTTAAAATAATGCTGTGATTTAATCTTCTTCCATTTTTAATTCAAACATGATTGTTTACATTTGACAGTGTATGCATTGAAGAAATAATAGAATTAAATTATATTGATTATTAACAGTAGCTTTATTTGTGATTTATACGTTTTGTATTGTTTTTTAATGTTGATATTAAACTATTTGTCTGCCCTGTGGGACTCACTGATTTGTTTTAAATGTTTCCCTGTACTTGTATCACCCTGATATAGTCCTGTCCTTGTGCCTGCATCATTTGTTCTTGTAGAAATATGTTAGTCATCTTTAGACACTGTGTTGTGACAGCTTGGGCTTCTTGGCAATAATTTCTTTTCTGTTGCTTTTTTTATTGGTTTTATGCATGTTAAATGTGGTTGTACACACTTGCATATAAGATGCACACTTTTTTGATTTGGGTAAAGGAGTGCCAATTGTAATGTATGAAGTGACAGTTTTGCAATTCATATGAAAATTAGTCATAATCGGTTGTGCACAGTTCATTTATGAGAATTAATAAATAATATAAAATTGTGTGATAATCATAAAACAACAAATGCTGCATTATGATATTTTTTTGTTTTGTTTTGCTCCAAAATTACGTTTATTTGGTGTTCCTAGTAGTTTTGCATACAGAAATGTGACAAAAATCTGAAATGTACCTGAGAGATACAATATCAATCTTTTTAATTCCCACTTCTGAAGGACCCTCAGTTGCCTAGTATTATGTAAATAGTTGTTAGTTCTGTGCTTTCTGGGCTTCTTGTTTTATCATTGTTGCTTCGTTCCTGTGTTGACAGTGCAAAGCTATGTGGTGAGCATGTGTGTCCTTTTCAGTCTGAGCGTCCGATGCTTGAGCGAACACATGTGTATTCAGTAGATAAGCAACAAGTGTCTATCATTCAAGTGGGTGGAGAGAGGGAGAAGACTGACCATGTTTCACAGCAGAGCCCTTCAATAGGTGGCGGGTCTCGACCAAGCTCCATGTCCCTTCCTGGTAAGTTGTTCCTATTTGTACCAATCAGTGCAGTTTTGAAATGCACTTACTATTATTGTTGATGCAAAGATCAGCTAATCGTATAAAAATAACCAAGTGAAAATAGTTAGATGAATGAAACTTGCGCAGCAGCTATTAGATGCTCAGCAACATAAAAAATGTACATTTGTAGCAATGATCTTTAACTGCTTATTGCCCTTCTGCGTTACAGAATATGTTGTAACTCAGCATGTGGTATTTGTTAAATGCATTCTTAAAGCAATTTAGATCCAGGAAGTAGCTTCTACAAATTTAAAAGGTGATGTCTAATATATTTTTTATCCTATCCAATCTCAGAAAGCATACTGACAGATTTGGAGATTTTGAAATTGTTATTTTTCAGTTTACTACAGCAGATCCTCAACCAAATAGAATGTCTTAAATAATATTCATAGATTGAACAGATTTGGAAATCAAGGGTTTCAATGTACAATGTTTTAAGCTAATTTTTGGGACTTATTGAAATTAAGTGAAAGAAAGCAACAGTTTAAAATATGTCTCACAATAAAATCCTCACCTGCCAGTATGCTGCCAATTACTCAACAATCCCTTTCCTAAAATCCTTTTCTTTACGTCTTGACATGTATGTAGAGTAAGCTTAATATCCATATAGTTATTGTTGTTGTTGTAGCTACATAAGTGAAATTATATTGCTGTACATACTATTCTATAATTTCCGCTTGATGCTTGAAATCGAAACTGCAATTAACATTTAAATTGACCTGTTGTAATTAACTTAACATAAAGTCACAATTTATGTAGAGTAGAAATTATATATGGTAACAATTAAATAATTTGTATAGTATTGAATTGTAAGATGATAAAATCAATTAATTAATTAAATTGTTCTCATTTCAGACAAATCTCATCAGAACGAGAAGCCTGAGAGGCCTCCGAAGCCTGAAGTCATGGCTCACACCAAAGAACAGCGATCCCCTAGTCATTGGCGTACGCTCTCGGAAGGAAACATTCTCGACTTTGAGGCCGATCAATCAGGTTCCAACTACATATCTTCTTTTCATAAAATATTTCACTTGAGAATTGCATTTTTTAAAAAAAAATCTTTTGCATCTTTGCAAATCTTTTGTCTCTCAATTTACTGTTTTCTTGTTTTTTTCGTGCAGGAATGAAACATCCTTCGAGCTGTGCTCTACCACTGGAGTCTCCAAGAGTCCTTCACAGACCTCCAAGGCCTACCCCTCCTCCTCCTCCACCACCTACTTCCAGGTCAAGATCAGACAGCATAGTAGAAAGCACTGACTTGTGATTTCCTTTTAGGATGAATTAATTTATGTTCTATTTACAAATTTGGCCGTACAAAAACCAACTACACTTTATTTCCTTATTATTACCAGACTCAAATGCATTTCTGTAAAAATTGATATAGAAATTGTGGAATGTTTTTCTAAAAAAATATTCTCGCAAGTTTAGATAATATAATTTTATCTCGGTAAATTTGATGTTCTCTTTAAGAGTTCAAACATTGTACAGTTCTTATACGAGCTAATTACTTTACATTTTTACTTCTTCTTTATTTGTTTTTATGCGTTGTTTGTGTCTGAAGGTATGTTTAATAACATGGAAATGAAAGAAGATTAGAGATTGAATAGAAGCAAATTGCTGTGATATCAATACTTAAAACTCAAGTTGCATAGTTTCCTAAAATGAATGTTAAAATTATATTTGTGTAGAATTTTCTGTATTTATTAAATAGTAAGCATGATTTTTTTATTAATTTCCTATAATAGAAATTTAACCATTTAAATAAGAAGTTCTGTTCGCGAAAAACAGAGTATAAGTCCTCTTAAAGTGTTAATTACTCTGCTTGTGCTATATATGAAAGATAAGTGTTAAAATTCACAAAGTGTAGATTATGGGCTAATATAAGAGGCTTCTTTTATGTATGTAACTAAAACTTTTTCTTTTTTTATTAATAATGCTTTTTGATTGACTAGGTGTAAAAATGCAAAAATGTAGAACTTGTGTAGCTCTTTGTTAGATTCCCAGTCTAAATGATGTTTTTGTCTATCAAAAAATGTTTTAATATGACTGTAAGGAAAAGGAGAAAATTTTCATTCCATGAATTTTTGTACAGCATTATTGGATTTTAATTTTATAATATTTATATAAAATAATTATTATGTTTATAACTTCTTTCTTCTCAGTTACCTACATTTTAAGAGGGTTTAGAAAAGTCCACACAATTTTGTTTATTGAAATGAACTTCTAATAATTTGGACATAAAACACCTTGAATTAAAGATTGCAAATATACAAAGCCACAAAATGGAGCACGGATATTGGCTCACATGAGGGGAAAAAGTAATCAAGTTGCACAAGATTGTTTCAAATATTGTGTAGTCTCGTAAAAGTGACAGCATTACAAAACAAAAACTCTTTTTTTTAAAAAATGAAAACAAATCTTACTTTTTTCTAAAAGAACAGTAAAATATTACTTGTGACAAAGTTGTCTTAGGACTGGTCTTGTCAGTGGTTTGTAATGGCAAACCAAATGCATTTGATATACAAGTTACTTGTCATTTAAGACTGATTTATGAAGCAAGCATACTTTCCAGTGCCATTATGTGCCTATAGTAAACAGGAATATTTGTTTCTTGCTTTTGTGTTAGCCCAAATAATTGAATCTTTCTATGTTCATTTTCTTTTGATATGATTACGAAACAAAATCATCATTTGGTGTTATATTTTTAGCTTTACTCAGGTGTGTGGAGTATTATTTCTATTGAATTGAAATTTAATAGAGAATTAAATAATGCAAAGAAACTAGAAGTTGATATTTTGTGTGCTTAGGTCATCTAGAAAGAATTGAATGAAAGTAATTTGCTTTCCATGAACTATGCACTTACAAATGCAGAGCTTCAATATTCTTTGTATTTCTGATTACAACTAGGACCACACTTGATTGAAAGATATGGGAAAATTCCTGTCCTATAATTGTTATAATTATACAGAAAAGAATTGCTAATGTCACAACTGTATCCTCAGATTATTCCCTACGTGAAGTTCTCCTACATTTCCCTTCGATCTCTTGTTATTATGTTGAAGAAAATTTCATTCGTACTAATATAATAATTGTACTATTGTGTTGTGAATTGTAATTATCATTATTATATTGTGGATTCTATGAAAGATATTTTAACTGTATAATTTACCCACAATATGTCTACCTTTCCAGGTAGTCATGGCTTCCATCAGAGAAAGTTTACTTATAATTCCGAAATTGTAATTCTCTCCTCACCATTAAATAATTAATTTTAAGTTTTTTATGGTTATTAAATTTTTTGTAATTTTAATATCCAAAACTTTCAATATCTGAGAACACGTGTTCTGAATTACGTCTTTGCCGTATCCATTTCCTTTTTTTCATAATAATGTATTTACTCTGGACTTTACGATATTTTTAATTTATAATCTTGACTTAAGGTCACTCCAGTCATTTGTAAAAATAGTTAATATAATTTATTAATTATCAGTATTTGTTTTGGATTTTTTTCTTCCTCTTCCCATTCTCACTTTCCCTCCTCTCCATATTTTGTGTTTTTCCTTTTGCATATTGTCACAAGACTATGATGGAAAGATCTGAATCAACCTTTGTGTAGCAAGTAAATATGTCAGATTAAAAAGAAATGTTAATTACAATTTTATTTGTCGTATTAAGATTTGCCATCATATTGCTGGTAGCGTTCTCAGTTTTTGTGTTATATTGATTTAATGGAATTTGAAAACTGATAAAATTCCGGGCAGGTAGGCCGTGGTCCAGTTGGCATTGAAGGGCCACAGCTACCAGCCCGTAAAATATATCTTCAATTGACTGGCCGTGAAAGCCTACAATGCTATGTAATGAAAAATAATTAGGTAGATCAAAGAAATTTGGGCCTATATAATGAATTCTTATTTTCAAATAATCCAAAATCAATTTCCTTATGAATTTTTGAAAATGTTTTCTAGAATTATTTTGATTATAGTGTTATTACACTTTTCACTTTGTTTTTCACTTTCAGTTTTCGTATTACCCACCTTATTTTCAACACATATTTTTGACCAAGTCTAATTGAATAGGACTCTTATTTATGGCTTCCTATTGAACACTGCCTAATATTGCATGCTATTGTCATAGAATGTATACAAATGTACTTAATGTGACTGTATAAACATACAAATATTCAATAACAGTCACATCTTTAAAATATATTTACAACTGAGTTAAAACTAATTTGAAAGAAAAATCTATAAATCTTGTTAAGTACACTTTGTGAACTTGCTAAAAATTGTAATTTTAATGTGAAAAATAAGTTATTATTTTGCTTTCTCTGATGTAACAAAAAATGTTGAACATTGTTGAAGCTGCGTAAATTTGAAAGAGAATACTATCAGTCTAAAGGAGCGAAGGAGTTTTTGAATTTGATTGATATTGGATATATATATGATATATATATATATATATATATATATATATATATATATAATATAATATATATATATATATATATATATATATATATATATATATATATATATATATTTATCTGACATCATAGGAGTACTAATAGCTTACTAGAATAATGATTTAAATGGAAAGTACTGTACTTGTTATGTAATTAAAATGGCAATATGCATACAATTGTGCTTGTAGTGTGTAAAGGCAGATGTATAAATATGATTTGTATCATGTGAAATGAATGTAAATATATTTCATGTAATGAACTGTGTGCGGCTCGTAATAGAATACCACTTTAAAGGTAGCGACACACGAGCGTCTGAAAATGTACGTCATTGACGTCCGTTGATTAGCAGTTGCAGTTTTGTGCTGCCAATCAGGGGTGCCGTGGAGTAAGCAATTCTGTTTTGTTAGAATGAAACTTACAAAAGAAAAGATGAGATGGTGGGTTCTTGCAATCAATAGTCAGCTCCTTTTGTAGAGAACATTTTACTCCGTCTTTCAGATTTTATGCGATGGTGAGAATTATTTTATTTTATTTCCGAATGGCCAAGCTGTTGTTCACAGATGTGCTCTCGAAATTACGTGGCCGTATTTAGTGGAAATTTTATAAATCTGCCTCTCAAGGCCCGTCTTCATAGTGATATTATATCACTGCATTTCGCGTCTTTCTCAGTTGTGCCGCTAGATGTCGCATGATCATGCAGTGCTTGATACGGTCGCGACATGAGACATCTAACGGCACGACCGAAATGCAGTGACATGCCACTGTGAAGACGTGCCTTGAGAGGCAGATTTATAAAATTCGGCTTTATAAAAATCGCACTATAAACGTCAAAATACCAATGAGAAGTGTAAAATATCACCAGAAGAAATGCTTGTACATGCACTTCATTATTTAATCTTTCTTTCGATTTTTTTCCCCCCATCATATGGAAAAACGTATGCAGCTTTCAACACGGTTCAATGTACGTACAACGTACTTACGTCTCGACTTCTCCATGTGTTCTGCACGAAGTAGAAGCCTAAAAAGCTGCAACATCCGTCAGGCATAACGTAAGCATTTTATCGACTAACGTCCGTTGACAGATACTCGACGGAGGTCACTGCAGCGCCCTACAAATACAGTGAAGCGAAACGCATAAACATTTCGTTCTTATTCGCCTCTGTTTTCGCATTTCTAGGTTATTTCCAGGCTATTCCACGCTTAAACTACGTGTCTCAGAGGTTTAGCGGTTGCCGTGGAAACTACAACTCTCTTATTCCGTGCTCGAGTTAGTCCATGTTTATTGGTATCAGTTTTCGCTATTCTCCTGCAATTCTGGGCTTGAGCGCAGAATAAATTTTACACCACGTTCATTGGTAGGGCTGCTAGAGTGTCACGGACTGGATGCGTCCCTACCATGATACGACGGACGCAGTTCAACGTCCGTCATTTGATGATCGTGTGTCGTTGTTCAAGACAGTGGAATATCTGTATAGTAATTGTGCACTCCCTTTCACAATATTGTAGGAATGTAATAACATTGCAATGCCCGGGTATTGGAATTTGATCCATTGACCCACCCTCGAAATGGACTGAAATTGCTGAGAAAATTTTACCAGGTGCTTCATAGTCTCCCAGTGTTACTGGTAAATTGTGATTTCCAAATATTTGCCCTCGGGGAGGACCACCACAACTGTCTAAACGTATTCATCCATTACTTGAGATATTCTCCATCTAAGCGAAAATTATATTGGTGAGAACGGAAAATTAGATTGATGATTTCGAAATAAATTCACACTACATTCACATTCTGGGAGTTGAGAGACCAGTACGTAAAACCCATCTGCCAAGGGGCAAATAATAACAATATATTTACATCATGAACTGCTGCCTAAAGGCAGAACACATCGGAACTAGTAAATAAGGAATTTTGTTTAACCTTATGTAAAAGACAATCCCATTGTATTACCATATATGCACGTTCCATCCAAGAGCAAATTAAGAAACAAGGGGCCACTCCGGAACCCTCGCAAATTCTATGAAAACACTAAGGAAGTCTGAAACAAAAAATAGAGAAAAGCAGTGAGAAATGAACGGAAACGTAGCGGAAAACATAGTGCTCTCGTGGCTCAGTGGCGAAGTCGCTTACTTTTCACCACTGCAGTTCCGTGTTTGATTCCCGTAGAACCTCATGTGAAATTTGATACGATAAAACGAGTTGGCATGCTTCACAGGGGCTAGTCCAACCCCTGTGAAGAGCCCTAAACCTTAGCCCTATCCTTATTCCTTTCCAATTTTGGCAACTGGGTAGTGATGCAGGAGGCGCGTTTGCGGAGATGCAACCTGGCGGTCCTCTTGACAAATGAGTTCGACGAGACGTGATGTGACATACTAGTAATGAAGGATTTCTCCTAATAAACGCATTAAATTAATGAAGGATTACTCCAAGCGCTCAATGTCCCCCAAAGGGCTTAGAGACATGTTGCGTAGATGCAACAAATTTAAAAAAATAAAGGCAGTCAAATGCCGCGAAATCTCTACTCGAGACTGTGTCTCACGAAATCCTCTTGCATCAAGAGCGCACTCGAGAAAGAAGGGCCTAGATATTCTCGTAGTCAGTGACCCTTCCTACAAACAGTTATTCTAATAGAAATTTGGTCTCAAGAGCGCTATCGTTCGAGGTCTGTTTCCCGATATCAGCAATCGAATCGTATTAAGCATGGTGTTATTTCCACCGCGGTGTTAAGGCTACTGTTTGTCAGTCTGCGCTAACCTCATCACCATGAGCCTGCTCGCCCGAGACACTTTTGACCGTACGTCCGGGAGCAAAGCTTGGTGAAATTTCTAAATCATCAAATTTCTCAGGATAGTTGAAGCTGTTCTTTTTAACTTAACTGTTTTGCAACGAGACAGGGAATTTCCTTTATCAACGCTGCACTGGCAACCTTCCCTCCAAAATCTATGGATCTTGCTTCCCTCGTTATAATCTCGTTTCTCTTCCCGGGTGAGCTATTACTCGCGCAACTTTTCTTGAACGATGACCTCGCTTCTGCCTTTCTGGCACAAGAAACAGTTGAACGCAAAAGGTCGCAGTGAGCACTGATGACAACATTCCAAACACATCTTCACAGGCGCGAAATAGAAACCATTTTCCGATGAAGACGAGAACTTCTGTTCATGATTTTCTCCACAAAAAATGTAAAGAAATGGCCGAGGCAGGTGAATATCCATTACAGGAGATACTTCGAACTCCTGAGAAAGTTAGAACGCAAATTATTGAAAAAATTGCGAAGGCTTGACTGATTCTCCAGAGATTGGAATTGCTTCATAAAATCTAGTGGCCAATTTCGTAACTAATACCCCCACTCTACCCGCATTTCTTCAATCCAGCGTTCAAGAAAAGTTGCGCGAGTAATGCTACTGGCGAGGTTTGAGACTGAACCACACTATACGGGTTATTCCGTTCACCAAATATAAACAACTATGTTTAAGGAAGAAAAAGTTTTTGGAAATGCATTTTAAATAATAGTTTTAAGAAAAAATAATTAGGAAGCAAATAATACAATTACCACGGTGATCTTAAAACGCTAAAAATGTGTTTACACGGTGTAATATATGTGAGAGACTGAACCACGGTTTCTCTTACACTATGAACTGCCCGTTAATTTCGATCACACATCACTAAGAAAGAATGGGAGACTGTAGTCCGTTGGTTAGCGTGCTCGTTTTCCACTGCGCAACCCCGGGTTCGATTCCTGATCGGACCCAAAATTGAATGGGCGCTTCCCTTGCAATGTCCTAGTATCTGTTGCTGTGTGAGGACGTGAAAGCTCACTTCTCAGGTTGAGAAGACCAGAGATACGGCGTAGGGATGGTTATGTGCTAAACACACGTTCCCCTGAACCCATGGCCGGGATGCTGCTGGTAGGCCTTAGCTCATAAAGCGCTCTTGTGCCAAATTACATAGTACATTCCTTCCTTAGAAACTATTTACTATCCTATCACTCCTCTCAGTGTACCCGACTTGCTCAAACTTGAGTGCCGCTATAAAGTTGGTGGAACGAGCGATGGATGGTGCTTTTTTAATTTTTTCCCGTCATATAATCGCCACGTCTCGTCGTAATCAGTTGTCAGGAGGACCGCCAGGTAGCATCTCCGCGTATGCGCCTCCTACTACGCACTCCTGCGTCCCTACCTAGCGGCCAGAATTAAGAAGGAATTAGGATTGAGGTAGGGTTTAGGACACTTCGCAGAGGAGTTGGACTAGCCTTTGTGAAGCAGCCGAACAGGTTTTGTTGGAACAAATTTCAAATGAGATTGTCCGGGCCAAACCCTGGCCTCCTTGGTGAAAGACGAGCGACTTCGCTCGGAGCCACCAGGTGCTTTGAGCGTTGATTTCTTCTAGAAAGT